ACGTCCCACGGACGCAGAGTCCCACTCCGACATTAGGGGGTAGCTGGTTGGTTTTTTGGTGTTTTGTGGGGTTTTAATTATTTTTTTTAATTCCTCCCGGTTCACTCTGGGGTGATTAGTGCTGGTTCAAGGGAGAAGATGGGAATCCACAGAACCGGATTGAGTGCATGCACAGAAGAGAGCCAGCATCAGTGTCAGAGAGCTGTGAGATCAGTTCAAGCTGCAGTTTGATAATATAGCCAAGTTTGCTGCAGGAGAATATTGTAAAAGAGCTAAGTCCTCTTAACTTAGCAGCTGGGGGTATTTAACTATGCATAACACATTCTACAGGAAAACTACTAGCAAGTATTTCTATTAAATCATAGCAGTAACAGCAATCTGTCTGATTAAAAGGAAACATGATTTTCAAACTTACGTAATGAATACATTTGAAACCAGCAGTCTCTCATGAGCGTATAGCAATGATACGTCATCAGAAGTTTCCAAAAATGAATTTCATTGCTTGGAGTTGTTAAGTGTGGCACAGCACTCTTCCAAGCAACAAGCTGTTGTTACTCTACATTGATGGCAACTGCCTGGTAGGAACATAGTGCTTCGTACTTGGCTGCCAGAAAATGAATTCTCAGATACAAGTATTTCACAACAGAGGTAAACAAGTAATTTTTAAAATTAACTACATGTCGTGAAGCTACTACTATTCATTATAATAATCTAATTCACCCTGTTCTTACTACATTCAGTGTTGAAACCCAAGAATGAACAAAACATGTTCATATGACTCCTATAAAATAAAATTAGGACGCACTCTCATGAAAATGAACATACTTGCTCAGCTGTTTTCTGTTTCCCATTAATGGACCACAACAAAGCAACAGCAGAGGTTGTATTTCCCAACTTCTGAAACAATTAGCTCACAACATTTCAAGTAAGAACCACCATTAGGTTTTATTTGGTTGGCTTCCTTTTTTATCAGGAAGAATGTACTTATTCTCATTTAAACTGGATAAGATGTTCATACCATGCTTTATAATGACTGCATCTAGAAAAGACAGGTGTTGAATGTGATTTTTAACATATCAAGGAATAAACAAATACATGGAAAACCTTGTTCTTACAAAGTGCATTCAAACTGATCTTCCAATAACATCCCTTTTTGTCAATAGGATTAAATTAGCAGAGACTCTTTCCTAGCTGACCTTCAAATTACATCCCATTTTGCCAATGGAATTAAATTAGGGAAGAGTTTTTCCTAACGTTAGAACAGAAAAAAAAGAAATGTAAAAGTAAAGGGAAGTAAGAAAAACAACATACCTAGCAGTAAACTGCCAGTTCAGTTTTCACTCCTGAGTCACTGCAGTTACTGTTTAGTAAAATAGTGCTATGTTGAATTATTTATTTCCTGTTAATCTCCTTTCACATGACAATCTAAAAAAGTGATTTTTGAAACAGGAAGATTAACAGCAGTAACTTGCCTCACAATGTATCTTGCATGAGGCTTGTGCACAGTTCCGTGAGCTCATGATCATTTCTCAGTATGAAGCGCAGAGGCTTAATAGTGTACTACAGGTTTTCACATATTCCTGACTCAGTAGCGCACCTTTCTCCATATATTTTACAATAAATATTGGTAGTGTTTGGCAGGAATCGGGTAAGTGACTTACCTTCATCTAAAGGAACCTCTTCCCCCTCACAGGGAGAAGGAAGGAGGGGCTGCAGAGGTTCCATGTTGATTATGAGTTGCTTGTTCAACGAGGGAGAGCTGCGACTCTGGGTAATGCTGGTTCTAAAAGAATGGGGAAAATAGGGTCACTTTATTCACAAGGAAACAACTGCAGTCCGATATGTGTCATCTCAGAATTGTTTTGCTTCAATTACAATAGGCCTTGAGCTATCATAACAAGCTCTGCACACTTGAACACTGCTTTCAGCCATCTTATGTTGCACCCTCAGCAGATATAAACCGTTCAACATCTGAAGCATAAGAGAAGGTTTTGTGTTCATTTACTTCCCTTTAGGCAGCCTGACTCCTTCTCATCTCATGCAGGATTTCAGTGTGTTGCTCCTCTCCACACTGCACAGCAGACATGAGTATTTGGCTTCAAGGAAGGGAAAAGTAGAGAGGATGTAAATCTTTTTCCTGATGTTGTTCCATGCCTCTGGGACTGGGTAAAGGATTTGTTACTGTTTGAGCACTGCAGACTAAAGATTAAAGCAGGAACAACCATGTCCCTTCAGTTAACAGATACACAGTGCTCTCATTCCCACGCACCCCCAGACACTGCCTCTACGCCATGCCTCCAGGTGCTCAGGCTGGTTTTCTTTCCTGTCTTACTCGGCTCTAATAGGGCTTTCCCGGTAGCAGGTGCTGAACTTTCTCAGGAAACTTTGAGGAATGCTCTTGATTTGCTTCAGTCATGAGGCTCATTAGCCTAAGATCTTATTACTGAGAAAATAAAATGGCTCTTCAGAATAAGTTATCTAGCACTTAACATGATATAGGCCTGAAGCAAGAATCCTGCAATAAATCTGAACCATTGTATTATAAAATATTTACTTTTGACAAAAGCAAAGATGGAAAGGAAGAGGATTCTGAAGGTTCTGAAGTGCTGAAGTTTCACAAAATGCATTTCAAGTTTGCAAAAAGACTCAACTTACAATTCCACATAGATAAACAAACTGAACGAAGCACTTATTGCAAGTTAAAAGAAGGGACTGTGTGTTGGTGAGGGTTTAGGTAAAGTCAGGATGCAGATGTCCTACTCTAAGTCACATTACATGTCATCAAATATTCTGTGAGGATAAACAAGCTTTCTTGCTCAATTTCCATGATCCTTGCTCATTAACGTATGCCCAAAGGTACCTACATCCTCATTTGCATTCTGTGAGCAGTCTCTAATAACTATTTAGTTTAAATTTTCGCTATCCAAAGAAGTTTTTCACTCAGCTGACTGTAATTACAATCACTTCAACCCAACGGTACCTCCACAGACTCATTACACATCCCCTGGACCTTTGTGCTTACTTTAAAGAGCTATTAAGCAACTCCCAAAACAGGAGTTGTGCGTGGGAGCACCCATAAGGCTCCTACATTTACAAAGATCCCTCCTTCAGGCATGCCCTGGAAGCAAAATATTAGATTATTGACTGTGTATTTGTCAGAAGCCCTTACCACTGCATTAATGCTGCATGACTACACACTCCAACAGATTTTCAGTCTGTAGTGCTTTAAGTGTAATATCCAAACATGAAAATATTGAACAGTAACCTCCTCACAACTGCATGTTTCTTTCTCGATGCAGCCATGGTACCACTGAATTGACTTTGAAGGAGGGGGTGCAGAAGAGAAAACTTTATATACATATAAATGTATATATTTACGTTCAATTGTATCATTTCCTTTAAAAGTTTTCTGTCTGAAAAACTACTATTTCCTGTCCCCAAATCCTCTTTCACGAAGTAACTTGTTTCTAAAGCTTGCTTTTTTTTTTGAGCTGAAAATTTTCTATACTTTTGGCCTACTCGTGCTATTAGAAGGACAAGCTATCTACTAGTATCTCCCATTTCAAAACCTGTGTTATAAAAAACACTTGAAATCATTAGACTTTTTCTTAGTCTTTCTAAGAAACTGAACTTGGAGCTACCATAATATTGTAAATGCAAGCATTTTAAGAAAGTTAATAATAAAAAATATACATTACTATTTATGGGTGTCAAATCCATATGACATTGCTCTACGAACTTATTTGCCCTCTGATCTGTTTCTTTATGTACATGAAGAGTTTTAAACAACATGTTTAAAATACTTTAAATACTATAAGCAAAGTAAAATACAAGATAAATACTAATTTTATGTGAAAATCTCTTCTTATCCTGCAGAAGAAAGAAACCCTATGGAAAGTAGGCAATAAACTATTTCCTTATGTGAGTAACAATTTCATTTAAAATGCATTTGTGTCCCCAAGTAATCTACCCTGCCTCAACGATGGACCTATATTCTTGCCTGCTGTGTCCTCAGTTAACATATTCTAGACTGTCATTTACCCCATTTTTAAATGCAATCTGCAAAAGC